GAGCGGGAGATGGGAAGGAGGAGGATGGAAGGAAGGAGACAGAGAGGGGTTGAGAGATGGGGTCAGGGAAGAGGAAGGAAACGAAGAAGGAGGGTTTGAGATGAAACATTGACGATAGAAAGATACAGATGATAAGTTCAAGATGAAATGGCAAGTATGACATCTCAGTCTCGACGAGCATGAGGCAAGCGAGACATTTCATCGAATCTTCAGCAGTAGCAACAAGATACCGCATGAGGAGTACATTCAAACATGGGATTTCAGATATGTACTTGTGTGCAGAGATCAGATGAATGACAGTAACATCCGAACACAACACAAATTGAAGATGTGACATTGTGCATCTAAGATACACGAGATCTCTGAAGGAAAGTCAATCACCTGTCATATATCTCAAACTCGAATGGAATGTCTCCGATGGGAGCAAGAAAACTTTTCTTGCCGCTAGAGTATGAAGCGCGAAAACTCAATAGAGACATGAGGAGTCTGCGGTGAAGTGAGAATAGAAACAAATCAAAGAGAAATGAGGAGAAGATAAAGGAGGAGGAGAAGGAGGAGAAGAAGGAGGAGGTTTATCAAGGAGGAGGAGAAGGAGGAGGAGGAGGAGGAGGAGGAGGGGAAGAGGAGGAGGACGACGAGGAGGTTTATCAAGGAGGAGGAGGAGGAGGAGGAGGAGGAGGAGTGAGAGAAAAGAACATGCAGATACGCAACGGACTTCATCCGCCATCAAACTCAAAAAAGGGAGACAACCTTTCATGCAAGCTTTCCTCTTCCACAACACAACAAGACACCTCAAAGTCAAGTTGCACTTCAAACATACCTCTTGCGCTCCTTCCCCCTCTCCTCCATCAGCTCTGCCTGCTCCATATTGCTCTTGGTCTTGTCACTTTGTTTGGAGTACTCATAGTAGTCGATGTACTTCACAATCGCCCTCACTACCGCAAGCTGCTCATTGTCAACCGGACAACTTGGTCTTCCATTCGCATCCTTCAACTTTCCAATCTCCTTCAACATGTACAGAATACTCTGCAGCCTTCGCACGTGTAACACTGTGTTGTCGATCATGTGGGAGGGAGGGATCGCTCGGATTAGAGCCTGAGACAACATAGCCTTGACCTCCTTGGCTACCTTCTGCAAGAACTGCTTCTCGGTCAAGACCGAATCTCCTACTTCATCGTTGGTGCTGAGATCGGAGTCGCTGTGGTACATCTCTTCAAGCATGCTCCTGAGCTTCTTGGGAGAGTGTATGCTCGAGTTGCGAAAGACAGAATTCATCTTTGTTAGCTTGTTCAGCTTTGACGCTGCACCTTTGAAAGAGCTCTGTATCTTGCTCTGCTTACTCGCGACGTCCTGTAATTTGCCGATCTGCAACTCTTGTGGAGAAACCTTGTAGCGAAACTTGTTGGCAGGTGGGATTCTTGACATAACGTCTTCCAACACTGACTTGTAAGCTCCCTGCTGACTGACGTTCTCTGCATTTTCCTTCAGGATGACAAACACGGGGAATCGCTTCTCCACTTTCATCATCGCCGAGCATCCCTCGTTCGGCGAGAGGAAGGAGTTCACAAGTCGTTGAAACTTGTCAACCTCGCTAGTGAGCACTTCACTCGGCATGTTATACATGTTCACATCCAACTTCAACCTCGAGATAATGTGTGAAGGGTCCTCTGTCAGCCTCTGCAGTTCTTTCAGGAGCTTCCTGTGATGATGATGGTTCTCAAACTCAAGACAGTAACTCGCTGCAGACGACTGCGGGAACAACGAGTAGCTCGAGTTCAGGACATCGAGAGATTTCCTTTCGTTCATCATCTGCAAACTCCTCGATAGACCCTCAAACTGCTCGCTGGAGCACCTGGGCGGCAGGCTAGGAAGAAAGACGCTCTCATCGAGGATGAAACAAACCCACACATGCGCTGCCCACGACCGACAGACCTCACAGTACTCGATCAAGTCGTCGTCCGTCATTTCTGTCTCTATCTTGGACATGTTCGCAAGGTTCATGTTTGTTGAGCTCTCACTAGCGCTTGACTTCCTTCTATGCATCAACCGCATCTGATTCCTCCGCGACATCTTGGCGTTGTTCAACACCACAAACTCGACATTCATCTCCCCTCCCATCTTGTGCACTTGGCTCTGAAGAGAGAGAAACACGTTCTGTCTCAATGCGTGCGCAACTTGCAACGAACTCCCAGGGTCCCCGAAACGGACAAGCACTAGACGGATAATGTTCGACATCCCAAAACTGACATCTGAGATCTTGGTGTAGCTTGACCTGTAGCAAGCCAACACTCTCGCAAAGTTCACAGCTGAGATCGTCCCGTTGGCGTCCGACAACATCTCCGCAAGCCTCATCATCTCGCACACTGACGTGTGAAGGAATCGGTTCATGTAGAGCGTCAGCTGCAGCGCGTCCAGCGAGCAACTCCTCTTGCCGTTACCTGCGTGAAAGAAAAGCTCCTGTACCTCCTGCACCTCAACATCGCTCGGGTTGTAGTTCTTCCAGTCGCTCTCTTCCACTTCAACGTCAGGGTTGTTTGCTGCCTGGGCACTGAGATCTGCCAAGTTCATCGCTTCCTCCTCCTCCTCCTTGTCTGCGTTGGAGCTGTCAAGCAACTTGTTCTCCTCGAGGGCATGGCTGACTCTCATCATACAACCAACGAACATGCTCCAAGAAAGTCTCAAGTTCAGCCAGATCCCAGTCGTGCTCTTCATCGTCATCCCACTAGCCTCCGTCTGCGGATCGATCGCCTTGTAAACATCATCATAGCGCAGCGGCTTCCACCACATTTTCGCTTCCTCACAACCTCTGCTGCTTGTCAAGTAGATCTTCATCCCTCTCAAAAGCGCGAGTAGCACTTCTCTAGTGATCCACTTCCGCTCCTTCTTCCTCGCCGTAACTTCTCCCCCTGTCCCATCGTCCTCGTCCTTGTGCGAGGGAGAAAGTGAGAAGGAAAACAAAGATCGGAGGAAGCTTGTTGTCTTCTGATCAACATCCGACGTGTGTTTGCATCTCTTCGCAACCAACTCGTTACAACCCCTCATACCGACATCCCGGATATCACCTTCAGCGCCCAAATCATCTCATGAATGGCGGCCAATGACAGTGAGCTGGCAAACTTGTACGCCTGCAAGAGCGTTTCAACCATTTCAAGACACATGAACGATCGCAACCTCGTCTTTCATGAGGGTAGAGAAAGTGACAAGTGGAGTAGTGACAGCTTGACGCGCGTTGTGTGAGCCCGCCGTCTTGACCCGCGAGCTTTTTCCGTTCTCCTGCGCCCTTGCTCACCCTCACGTACAGAGTTTCTCAAGAGCTCACGTCCGGTCTCTGCCATTCTTGGTTCCATGGCGGCCTCGACATCGCAGATTGTGAGCGATTGTGGCTGCTGGAGCCTTCGGACATGTTAGGTGATGGAGTGAGAGGAGGACGAGTGAGAGGAGGAGGTTAAATACCGTCTTTGTCTTCATGCTTCCCAGCTCCTTTCAGCTCTCCTTTGAAGGGTTTCTGGGAATGGAGATCGCATCATTGAAACAACTATCATGTAGAGGGATGTAGAATACCTTCTTGGAGGAAAACTGCTGAATCTCCAGCACATAAGGAGACTTTGTGAAGATCTGACTACCCGAAGTCCTTCGTCGTACGTCATCCAGCGATTTGTTCAGGTACCTCGATAAGGTAGAGAAGGGCGAGTTTCTTGCAACGTCGTCTTCTGAATCGTTGATCAGCGACAGCGATTGCGATGGCTTCAATTCATTGCCATCAATCATTTCTGTTTCGCCATACTGCACAGCCTTCTTCTGGAATGTCTCGATCTTTTCGTCAGATGGTTGTAGGAAGTCGTCAGGATTGTTTACAGGTTCCTGTTCGTTCTCTTCCTGGACCTTCTCGCCCGCAGAAACTCCGTTAGTAGAATGTTCGTTGTCATGGGATGTATCTTCCATGATTAAATAATCAATCAGTTGTTGGTGCAGATCTTGTTCATGTAAAGGAGAACAATGAGATGGTCCCGTGAGGAGTTGTACTTCAAAGACTTCTAGAAGCTTTCTGTTCGCACTTGTTCCCTCTTCTTCTCATCAGTGTATGATCTTCATGCTTCCAGGTTCACAACAGTGCCGGCGGTCACCAGCATGATCATCGGATGATAATTAAAACTCATGTTTTAGGTTGGTACTTCTATTATAACATTTTAAATTACTTGATACAGATTTTCTACCAATATATTCACTTACACTAAATAAAATATTATCATACAAAAAAAAATTGACAAGACGCCGTTGGGCCTCCTCCCCTCCTTGCCCATTGGCAACCGCACTAATCGAACTCTGTCTCAGATTCTGTTCTAGATCTAGAACGGTGAAATCCCAGATTGTGTTCTAGATTGCGGGGGCCGGGCGCATGGAGGGGAATCAATGAAATGGTGGGAGGAGCGAGAGAGAGGGAGAGGGAGGGAGAGGGAGAGGGAGAGGGAGAGGGAGAGGGAGAGGGAGAGGGAGAGCGAAAGGGAGAGGGAGAGGGAGAGGGAGAGGGAGAGGGAGAGGGAGAGCGAAAGGGAAGGAGAGGGAGGGACGAGGTAGAAGGATTCAGTCTGTGGAAGGAAAGGGACAGGAGAAGATCGAAAGCAAGGATCGGAGTAGCAGAACGTTTGAGCAGTAGAGAAGGGAAGTTGAAGTGACGGGGAATTGAGAGATTTAACCCTTGTGCCTGGTTGTTAGATGGACGAGGAGCCCGACTTCACCTACGAGGAGGCTATCACAGACTGCAAGAAGAGGATCCGACCAGAGTTCTCCGAGGACGAATGGAGTGCTAAGAAGTTCCACGCGCTCGATCTAGAAGTTCTGAATGCCCCGCAAGAGAATTGCGACAAGATCCATGTGAACGACTTCACCGTTGAGGAGTTTGTGGACAAGTACGAGACAGCGTCGCGGCCATGCATCATTCGAGGGGCGATGGATGGGTGGAGAGCATACGGGAAGTGGAGTTTGGAATGGCTGGCGCAGGAGCACGGGGATGTGGAGTTGAGGTGTGGAGACGATGAGGAGGGAGAGAGAGTGGAGATCAAGTTGTCCCACTTTGTGAGGTACATGCAGGAGCAGGAGGACGACAACCCCCTGTACGTGTTCGACGAGAACTTTGCTGACGACGAAAAGGAAACGGCCAGCATGGCGCAGGACTTTTCGATCCCAACTTACTTCCAGGAAGACTTGTTCAAGTACCTCGGTGAAGACGATAGGCCTCCCTACCGATGGGTGCTGGTCGGACCGAAGAGAAGCGGCAGCAGTATCCACATCGACCCTTGCGGCACCTCAGCATGGAACTCGCTGCTAGCAGGGAGGAAACGCTGGGTGCTGTTCCCCCCCGGTACGCCGAGGAGCGTGATCAAGCCGGAGAGCTGGCTGGCGCAGAAGAGGAGCGAGGCTCTTGACTGGTTCTTGTACCATCTTGATGGGATGAAGCAGCAGCTTCCTGCTCACCAGCAGCCGGTCGAGGTGATCATGGAGGCCGGAGAGACAATCTTTGTGCCGGGAGGATGGTGGCATACCGTGCTGAACCTGGAGGATACGATAGCAGTCACGCAGAACTTTGTGTCCTCTAACAACTTCATGCTGGTCTATCAGGTAGGATTCTTGGTGGTGTGAGAGGAGGGGAGACTTGTTGTGTAGTGTGATGATCGCGGAATGTGCTGATTTGAGCGCAAGGAGCTGAAAACGTCGAGGACAAAGTTGTCAAGGAAGTGGTTGAGGAGCCTGAGCTTTGATCGACAGGACCTTGTTGAGGTGCTGAAGAGGAATGAAAAGGAGGAGGGGAAGAGAGAAGGGTGAAAGGATGTGACGGCGCAATCGGTGGACGTAGCGAAAGGAGGGGAGGGGAAGAGAAGGATGGGGAGGGAGAGGAGGGGGAAGAGGAGAGGGGGGGGAGAGGAGGGGGAGGAGAGAAGGAGGGAGAGAAGGAGAAGGAGAAGGAGAGCGAAGAGGAGGGGGGGGGAGGAAAGGCACAGGGTGAGGGAGGGGGGGGGGGAGGGGGCAGTGGTTATCGGAGCGGTGTGGAGGAGGATTGAGAGAGTGAGACTTGGATCAGATGTCGGAGAAATTGAGCAGCAGCTGTAAACCTGCGAGCGGGAAGGCAAAGCTGACGAAGAAGCGAAGGAACGAGATTGGCAAGGTAGAACCCTCCCCTGCCTCCTCTAATCCTGCCTGAACCAACCTGCCTCCCTCCCCCCTGTCTGCTGCTTCCTGCCTCCTTCCTCTCCTACTCTTCGTCTCTCCTGTCTTCTCCGCATGCCCTGTGTGCCTCGCCCACCTCATCTTCATCTTGCTCCTCTCTTGTTGTTGTCTCCTTCGACATCCTTTACCTCTCCCTCCTCTCTGTCTCGCTTCTCCTCGCATGCTCATTTCTGCATCTCATGCAGATCAGAGAAGCTGCGGGCTATCGCTACTGCTACAAGATGTTCAAGTTGTGGCATGTGAGCTGTGAAATTTTCTTGATCCTCCACCTCTTGTCCAGTCCCGTCCTGTCTCTTCTTCTTCCCTCTCCTCTCCCTCTCCTCTCCCTCTCCCTCCCCTCTGCTCGCTTCTTCCACTTTCTTCGCTCCTCCCTCAGTCTCTTCTCTTCCCTTCTCCTCTCGTGCAAAGTTGAAAGATTCGTCAGAGTTTGTCGACCAGTGCAAAAGATCACGATGAGGAAGAAATTTCTTCTGCTGCGGCTAACATCGAGGAGCTCAATATCTCTTAGCTCGAACTTCTCCTCCTCCTCAGTATTCTTCTCCTCAACTCCCTTAACCCACTCGCCTCTCCCTCCTCCCTTAACCCACTCGCCTCTCCCTCCTTTTCCTCTTCCACCCTCTATCCGCTTCATCTTCAATCTCTCTCTTCTTTATCTTGCAGATCACTTAAGACTGTCTCTTCCTTCCTCATCCACTGTCGTTTCTCCATCACTTGCATGCTTCAACAAGTCTTGCTATGTCTGGCTGAGCTCCCTCCCTGAAATTCTCTGCGAGCTCCTGCAAATACAATTACAAACCCCTTCCTCTTCTTCCCACCCGTCTTTCCACTCCGCCACGACTGCCAACACCACCACCACCGTATCCTCTCCTTCTTCTCTCCCTGCTCCTCCTCCTCCCTCCCTCCCTATCTCCTCTCCTCCTCCTCCTCGGAGTTCCCCCTATCTCTTAGGACCGACTAACCCATGTCCAATTGCTGTTCACATGGAACCTTTCTCCACTTCGGCCTTCAAAGTTCTCATTTGAATATTTGCTACTACCACCAAGATCTGCACTAGGGGCCGTTTCACCAGACTCACGTCCCAGCTGCTTCACGACCCCACGCCCTTCCTACTCTTGGTCCATCGCATTAGCCAACGGTCGGGTATAGGTCGTCGGCTTGAGCGTATCCATTTTCCGGGCTAGTCAATCCGGCAGGTGAGTGGTTAACTCACTCCTTAGCGGATTCCGACTTCC